TGGAATATAAATAAAGTGTGTTATTATTACATACTTCTCATAAACTTGGCTGTATTTACACAACCTCATTCTATAAAGTTGTGTGTGGCTTTCTTACTCTTTAACAGATTAACTGAACTGTGCACAAGGAAATCAGGCAGAAGATGTATTGTTGAAGGCTTTCGTGGCCTAAATCAGTAGGTTGCTGTGTATTTTCAGAGTTGTATGGCTATGTTCCAGAAGCATGAGACCTCACAACCTCTGAAGATGCCTACCATAGATGCAGGCGATATGTAAGGAGAGAATACTTCTGAAACATGGCCCTACAGCCCGGAAAACTCACAACAACTCAGGCAGAAGAGTGTGTGGAACTGGGGTTTTATCTGAGATAGGAGGGGAGACTTTCTTTACCACACAAACACAAACAGGACTTTGGTTAATAAACTTTTTTGCTGGAGGGATTATAAGAGGTGCAATCTAAAATACACATTTGCTGAGTTTGGGGGCCTAGGACACTCATAAAAGTGAGAGAAAAAAACATATATACGAATTGCTATTTTTTTTACCTGAGAGAACATGTCTCTAGGAATATCTAGGAACATCCACCATACGGTCCAATCTCACGTGAGGCTAAATTTACTGGCAGTATCATACTGGGGGGCCTAGAGATTTCTTGAGGGGTGTTCTCTCCACGAACCTCTAAGTCCTCCACATGACTCTATGGTCAACATCCAACAGCAATTGACCACAGACTTACATTGCAGGATTTGGGCGTTCCTAGAGATAGCAGGCTAATCAAATTGGTGAATAACCAAATGCACAAAAGTCAAATCTGGATGGATGCCGGTAGAACACTGACAAAAACTAAGGATCTAGTCCATGCATGGGCTGAAGTTTGCCCATGCCTGGTCTAGTCCCATGGACCTTATCCTGACGGAGGCTCAAATTTGAATTTTCCCCGATTTGCTAACATTTATTACATGCACCCCCTGAAGAATACTGTACTTTCCCACGTCAATTTTAGTGGGAACTGAGTTGCAGATTGAAAATGAAACAGCATAACAAAAGCTGTACCTCTCCAAGGACAGGAGGAAGAGAGAAACCTTGTATCCCTTCTTACAGTGAGAATTGTGACCAACAAAATCCAGAGAACCTCCACTAAACAAGGAGCCTGCACCCAGCCGAATTCTGAATATATTTTGATGAGTTTCAATAGAATTTTTAAAATACCAATGTTTTAATGTTTGTATATTTGCAGATTTTAAATTGTATTGAAATGCTTTTAACAGTAATAATAATAAAGGTAGTAAATGTAAAGGTTTCCCCTTTGACACTATGTCTAGTCGTGTCGGACTCCAGCGGGTGGTGTGCATCTCCATTTCTGAGATGAAGAGCTGCCGTTGTCCATAGACATCTCCTGGTCATGTGACTGGCATGACTGCATGAAGCACTGTTACCTTCTTGCAGAAGCAGTACCTATTAATCTACTCATACTTGCATGTTTTCGAACTGCTAGGTTGGCAGAAGAAGGATCTAACAGCAGGAGCTCACTCCATTTCCCGGATTTGAACCACCAACCTTTCGATCAGCAAGTTCAGCAGCTCAGTGGTTTAATATAGAATGAGGGGCTCCTCCTACATTAGGTTTTGTTTAAAGCCCACTTCCACTTTGCTTTCTTTGATGTCTCAAACAACCCTGAGTCTATCTAGCAGTGTGTTGTAAAAGGAATGCAGCCTGACATCACTTTAACTGCTATGGAATCATGAGAGATGTAGTTTTGCAAGGCCTTGTGCCTTCTCTGCCAAGGAGTGCCAGTGCCCCACTAAAACCTGTTAGGTTGGCAGAAGTTAGGGCTAACAAAGGGAGCACCCCCAGCCATGGATTCAAACTTCCAATCAGCAAGTTCTGCAGCTTAGTGGTTTAACCCACTGCACCACGACGGCCCTCTAATAATAATAAATTTTATTATTACCAACCTCTCCTGATGACTGGTTGCGGATACAACAAATTAAAAAACAAATGAACATAAAATACAATGACTAACTTTCATACACACACACACATGCAGTTTCTCAAGTCGCTCCTGACACGACCAAAAAAATTATACAGTATATGAATTGACATATAGTGGTAACAGAATGCAAATCAAAAATTCATGATTGAAAGTGGACTGGGTAGGCTTAATCAATGTGTGCAGGTGCCTCCCCAAGCTCCAACTCCCAGGATTCCAGATCTTGGAGCCATGGCACTGAAGGTGGCGTTAAGCTGCATTCATTCTGCAGTGTATGGTTCAACTTGGGCCCTGCAGCCGTTTTGGACTTCAACTCCCATCATTCCTAACAGCCTCAGGCCCCTTCCTTTTCCCCCTCAACCACTTAAGGGGGGAAAGGAAGGGACCTGAGGCTGTTAGGAATGGTGGAAGTCCAAAACACCTGGAGGGAGTGCCTAAGTTGGCCTATGCCTGGTGTAGATGCACCCCATAATCATCCTGGGGGGCTCGGTTACCTTCCAGTCCAGAGATGGGCTTGAGCCACGCCCCCTCCCTCCCTCCCTCCCTCCGAGGCTCAGCTTCCCCTCCTCCTTTTCTCCACAGCAAAAGCCGCGGCTCCAAGGGAACCAGGCACCTGCGCGTTTTCCCTGGGCTTTCCCCGCCAAAACAAGCGCGAGCCCCACAGGCTTTGTATGGGCACGCCTGGGCACGCAGCGCTCATTCATTCACACAAACTCTCTCTCCCACACCGGCCTTTGACATCTCAGTCTCTTTCCCCCCGAAAATCCCCAGTTCAGAGGCTCTCCTCAGMCTCCCCCCCCCCCCAGCAAGTAAATGAAAGGTCTGCAGTAACATGTGTATGGAGAGAGTGGCCGCCCATGCGCTCCACTTCGGGAGCATCTACAACAGTTTCGCACCACTTTGAACATAGCCAAGGCTCAATGCTATGGAATCCTGGGAGTTGTAGTCAGGAGCTAGCACTCTTTGGTAGAGGCTAAAGGACCCTTTAAACCACAACTCCCAAGATCCCTTAGCATTGAGAAGTGTCAAGGTCCACTCCTTCTACAGTGTAATGCAGGCGTGGGCCAACTTGGGCCCTCCAGGTGTTTTGGACTTCAACTCCCACAACTCCTAACAGCTGGTAGGCTGTTAGGAGTTGTGGAACTTGAAGTCCAAAACACCTGGAGAGCCCAAGTTGGCCCATGCCTGCTCTACACTGTAGACACCCCTGATTCTCAATTGGAGAACTAGCTCAAGCAAATCATGCTTAATATCCATAGTGTATCCCTTCACTGGAAATACCTGTTTCTTGCTACTTCACACTAGAGAGAGAAAAAAATCCACTTAAAATCTGGTATCTGCCTCTTGAAGAATTCTGGGGCTTGTAATTTAGTAAGGGCGCTTCATGCAGTCATGCTGGCCACATGACCTTGGAGGTGTCTATGGACAACGCCGGCTCTTCAGCATAGAAATGGAGATGAACACCAACCCCCTGAGTTGGACACAACTGGACTTAATGTCAAGGGAAAACCTTAAGGCTCCTCCCTAAAGTCCAAACCCCAAAATTCTGCACACCGCGTGACCTTGGAGGTGTCTACGGACAACACCGGCTCTTCGGCTTAGAAGGGGAGAGGAGATTACACGACTAGACTTAATGTCAAGGGGAAAATTTTACCTTAAGGCTGTTAAAGGCTCCTCCCTAAAGTCCAAACCCCTGAATCCTGCAACAGGCAGAAATCAGATTTTAAGTGAATTTTTTTCTCTCTCTAGTATGATGATGACTTTTTCTGTTCTCCTGAGTGGAGCTAAACAAAGAGCCTGCACCCCAACTGAATTTTGAATATATTTGGATGAGCTTCAGTTGAAACTTTTAAATACTAATGTTTTAATTTTTGTATATTTGTAGATTTTACATTGTATTGAAATGCTTTGAATGTAAGCCACTCTTGAGTCTCCTTATGGAAAGAAAAAGCGGGGTACAAATAAACATCATAATAATAGTAGTAATAGGTGGATCTGCATAGTAGAATGGTTACAGTTTGACACCCCTGTAGCTGACAGAGATCAATGCTATGGATTCACCAGAGTTGGTTTTTCACAGTAATAATAATAATAATAAAGGTAGTAAAGGTAAAGGTTTCCCCTGACATTAAGTCTAGTCCTATCTGACTCTAAGTCGAAGAGACGGCATTGTCCATAGACACCTCCTGGTCATGTGGCTGGCATGACTGAATGGAGCACTGTTACCTTCCTGCAGAAGCGGTACCTATTGATCTACTCACATCTGCATGTTTTCGAACTGCTAGGTTCGCAATGGGAATTCACCCCAGCCATAGTTGGTTTTTCACAGTAATGATAAAAGGTAGTAAACATAAAGTTGCTGTAGGTTTTTTCGGGCTATATGGCCATGTTCTAGAGGCATTCTCTCCTGACGTTTCGCCTGCATCTATGGCAAGCATCCTCAGAGGTAGTGAGGTCTGTTTTTTTGTCCCACCCTGGACATTCCACAGATATATAAACCCAATCTTCCTAGTTCCAACAGACCTCACTACCTCTGAGGATGCTTGCCATAGATGCAAGCGAAACGTCAGGAGAGAATGCCTCTAGAACATGGCCATATAGCCCGAAAAAACCTACAACAACCCAGTGATTCTGGCCATGAAAGCCTTCGACAATACATTAAACGTAAAGGTTTCCCCTTTGACACTAAGAGCTGGCGTTGTCCGTAGACACCTCCTGGTCATGTGGCCGGCATGACTGGATGCAGCACTGTTACCTTCTTGCAGAAGCGGTACCTATTGATCTACTCCCACTTGCATGTTTTCGAACTACCAACAGACTCGCCAAAGATGGAAGAAGAGCAGCAGAAGTCATGCTAACATCACGGGCAATGACTAGCACCAATCCCTCTGCGGCCATTCTCCCAGCCAGGTCCACATCTCTCGCGCCTCCCTCTCGAGGGTCCTCAGGGTCGCAATCACAACAACAGCGCGAATAACAATAATCAGCATCAGAGAATAGGGAAACTCACCGCGCGCCTTGGGTCTGGGCTGCTTTCGCTGCTGCCGAGCAAGTGAGAGACTCCCTCCGCCGCCTCCGGGGACACCATCCAAACAACAAGCCAAGACACAAACCCACCCACGCGCCACCCGGGTCCCTTCTCTTTCTCTCTTTCTCTTTCTCTCTCTCTCTGACTCTCTCTTCCCTACTTTGAGAAGACGCGGAGCCTTATTAGGCAAGAATGCGGGGTCTGGCGGGAAGGAGCCCGGTTTTGTGTCCCTGCAAAAGTGGGGCTGAATGGAGGAGAGCAAAGGGGGAGTGGGCTAGAAGGAAAAGGAGGGAGGGAAGAGGGGGAGGCTCCCAGGCAGGACTCCTGCCCCCTTGGCTACAACAACAAACCTCAGCGACCTGAGGAAGGAAGCCCCACTGGAAGGAGGAGAGGGAGCTCAGGAGCCACACTGTAGAGCAGGGGTTCTCCACCTGTGGGCTCCCAGGGGTTTTGGCCTACAACTCCCAGAAATCCCAGCCACTTTACCAGCTGTTAGGCCAAAACTTATGGGGATCCACAGGTTAAGAACCACTGCTGGAGTCAATGAGCTTTGACTGCCCTTTCTCAAGGCTATGGAGTCACTGGGAGTTGCAGTTTAGTGGGGCACCAGCACTCCTTGACAGAGAAGGCACAAGACCTTGCAAAACTACATAGCATTCATGGGAGATGTAGTTTTGCAAGGTCTTTGGCCTTTGCCAAGGAGTGCCAATACCTCACTAAACTCCAACCCTCAGTGATTCCATAGTCTTGAGAAGTGGTGTTGGGCCACACTGTGGAGTTAAGGTGCTTTGACTGCTCTTTCTCAAGGCTATGGAGTCATTGGGGGTTGCAGTTTAGCAGGCACTAGCACTCCTTAGCAGAGAAGGCACAAGGCCTTGCAAAACTACATCTCCCATGATTCCATAGCACTCAGAGTGGTGTCGGGCCACACTGTAGAGTTCATGCGCTTTGACTGCCCTTTCTCAAGGCTGTGGAGTCACTGTGGGTTGCAGTTTAGTGGGGTACTAGCACTCCTTGGCAGAGAAGGCACAAGGCCTTGCAAAACTACATCTCCCATGATTCCATAGCATTCAGTTAAAGTTGTGTGGCACCACACTGAAGAATTCATGCACTTTGATAGCCCTTTCTCAAGGCTATGGAGTCACTGGGGGTTGCAGTTTAGTGGGGCACTAGCACTCCTTGGCAAACAAGGCACAACACCTTGCAAAACTACATATCCAGTGATTCCATAGCAGTTAAAGTGTCAGGCTGTATTCCTTCTACAGCACACAGCTAGATAGCCTCAGGGTTGTTTGAGACACCAAAGAAAGCAAAGTGGAAGTGGGCTTTAAACTAATCCTAATGTAGGAGGAGCCCCCAGTGACACAGCAGGTTAAACTACAGAGCTGCTGAACTTGCTGACAGCAAGGTCAGCAGTTCAAATCCAGCAAGTAGGTGAACTCCCACTGTTAGCCCCAGCTTCAGCCAACTTAGTAGTTCAAAAACATACAAATGTGAGTAGATCAATAGGTACCACTCTGGCGGGAAAGTAACGGCACTTCATGCAGTTGTGCCAGCCAGTTGGCCTTGGAGGTGTCTATGGACAACACCAACTCTTCGGCTTAGAAATGGAGATGAGCACCAACTCTCAGAGTTGGACACGACTGGACTTAATGTCAAGGGGAAACCTTTACCTTTTAATGTAGGATTAATGACACTTGTTCATGATTGATAAGCCAGTGTGTTTGGGTATTTGGGGTTTATTCTTTTATGCTAATGGGTGATGGTCAGTGTCATTCTACAGAGACTATTTAAGAAAATTCAAGAATCTGAAAATAGCCACATAATAGCCTCAGACTAATATTCTTGAAACCTTACTGAAACTGGAAGCCATACTCATAGTGGAATATTTTATGTTATACTTAAGCCCACTCCCCACTTTGACCGCCATGAGTCAAGGCTATGCAATCCTGAGAGTTGTAGTTTGACAAGGTCTTCAATGTTCTCTGCTAAGAAGTTGGTGCCTCGCCAGAACACAACTCTCAAGATCCCATGACATTGAGCCACAGCACTTAAGTTGTGTCAACAACACACCACACCCAAAGCTCTAATAAAATAATACATTTCAGTCAAAGGTCTCTTTTCCTTTATCTGGGTGAATCTTCAGTGGAAGGCAATGTTGTTGTTTTAACGTACTCTTTCGGATCTTGGTATTTCCTGGGAATACCTAAATCCATGTTTTTTCAAGTCTCATTATATACAACAACATTCAAAAGGTGTCCTTTATATAAAATGGCAAAAACAAGGTTTGCTTCATGGAATTTTTTGAGGGGAGATCTTTTAAAGCTGTTCATGATTGGATCCACAGATACATCAAGCCAACTGTATTCCTATTTTTTAGGGTTTTTTAAAATAGCTTTTCTCCAAGGGGCCAATCATGTCTTCTCATGTTATCCTCCCATCAACTCTGTTCAACTGAGAGACAGAAGGTCAGTGACCTGCCTAACTGCATGTGGGTTGAACAGTTTACCTCCAGGGCCTAAGTCCAATTTTGTGTCTCCTATTACCTGACAATGGTCTCTTGTTTGCTGCTTCCCTCATGCTTTCATGATGACGGTTAGTATTTGGCTGACCCTCCAGAAGAGTGTCAAGGATGGGAATCCTGGTAACTCCCATAGTATAGCTGATGGTGAGGCATGCTGCAACTTACTCTCCAACAACACCTGGAAGGACACACATTTCCCACCTCTGCTCTTGATGGATCTTTGGCTCGGCCCCAAGTTTCTTCCTGTCATCAGGTTAAATGAGGCAACCACCTCTGGAAGCAGAATGATTGAGAGGGAGAGATAACAGCTGCAATGTTACAACCATTCTTCTTGGGCTTCCTTACACTCATATATGTTGTTGGTAGGACAGAGCACCCTCCCTCCATCCTGTGCTCTCTTTGTATATCCATGGCCTCTCCTGCAGTTAGTCCTTTAGTTAGCCGGCAGCTTTCATGGGTGGTGGAGTCCCACAGCCAGTCTTGAAATATGATTAAAGTGCCTTCCTAGGGCCCTTCCACACAGCCATATAACCCAGAATATCAAGGCAGAAAATCCCACAATATCACTCTGAACTGAGTTATCTCAGGGCCCTTCCACACAGCCCTATATCCCAGAATATCTTCTGTGAACTGAGTTATCTGAGTCCACACTCAGAAAATGTGGGATTTCCTGCCTTGATATTCTGGGATATAGGGATGTGTGGAAGGGCCCTGAGTTTGCACAGATTCAGACTTGGGGTCCTATACCAGCACTGGAGCTGCAGGCCAAGCCCTTTAGGTGTCTTCCTTCTTCCCTGAACCTGCTTATACCCCTTTGCAGTGTGGTTGGCAGTTTCTTATCCCTTTGTCTCTTCCTGTGATAGTCTTTCCAGACAAACACAAATCTGGCACCTATTCGCTCTGGCAGCAGGGCTGAGGGGTAAAAAAAAAAACACAACAAGACTCCAATTTAACTCTTTCTACAATGTATTTTCAAAGAAGAGAACCTGTACCTTGAAAGTTGCTTTACTTATCTGGAATTCTGCAATCTTAAATACTCCCAAATCCAACATCCTATTGATATTTCCGTGTATGCAAACTTCATTTCATACACAACGTTATTTTAAAATGTTGTCTAGGGTTATATGAAACGTACACAAATTTTGTATTTATGCTTGGGTTGTATCTTCCCCCAAAGAAACCCTCAATATGTATCTCTATGCAAATACAAGCATTTTAAAATTTAGAAAATGCAAAAATGCTTGTGGTTCCAAGCATTTTGCATAAGGCTTAGTCAACCTATCATACAGTGACATATACATAGACATAATTATCATCACTCCATTGTACGCACTACAAACAGAAGCTAATCTACTAGTAATATTCCTCTGGGTAAGATCTTTGTGTATACTATATGTCATGTGATGCTTTTAATCTTTGTCTTTTGTTCTTTTGCCCTTTGGTGAGCCAAGGACAACTCTGGAAGCAAGACAGAGTGCAGATACATCAGTAATAATTGCATAATTTAAAGAATGGCACCAAAAGGGTGTAAAAATGTGGAACAAAAATGTCTTAGTTTAGCCGGCCAGCAGTTTAGCCTGTCAGGCTTAGCACAGCAGGCTAAACTGCTGTGCTGCAGAAAAATCCTGCTGATTGGAAGGTCAACAGTTTGAGCCCAGGTCAAGATTGAACAACCACAACTAGCCCCAGCTCACCTGCCCACCTAGAAGGTCGAAAGCAGAAATGCGAGTAGATAAAAATAGGTACCGCTTTTAGCGGGGAGGTAATACAGGCGCCTTTAAGGACATTGATCGGAGGAAAGCTCGTCTGGAAGATGGAGTGACAGCACTCCCCCATGGCCGAAGTCGAGCACAGCCTCCAAGATGCCAGAAATAAAATGGGAAAAACTGCCATTTCCTCTGTTGTGTTGTCTGTTCCTTGTTATTGTATAACCAGCGTTGAAAGTTTGTTCTATGTGTGTTTTGTAAAGCTGCTCTGAGTCCCCTTCGGGGTGAGTAGGGCATGGAATAAATAAATAAATAAATGTACTTATTTGTGTTTTCTTATTTACAGGAAGACAATTAAAGTTTGGTTTTACATCCTGTGTTGTCATCGTGTAGCTTCAGTTTCTTTCTGACTATGCTGACCCTAAAATGAAACTATCACAGGGTTTTCTTACTAAGATTTCTTCAGATGCGGGTTGCCCTTGCCTTACTTTTAGGATGAAAGAATGTGACTTGCCCAGGATCACTTAATGAGTTTCTGCGGTCAAGTTGAGGATTCAAACCCTAGTCTCCAGAATCATAGAGCCATTATATTGGCTCTAGCTGTCCTATATCTTCTGTTATATGCCTTCAAGTCACCTATCAATTTGTAGTGACCCCATGAAATTTATAAAGGAAGGAATACTCGGAAGTAGTTTTGCCAGTTCCTTCCTCTGAAATACAGTCTAAAGACCTGCTATTTGTTAGTGGTCCCCAGCCATATGCTAACAACACCTTACCCTGCTTACCTTCCAAGGTCAGCTAGTCCATTTATCCAATACAGATTAATTTAACACACAGGATGAAGGGAATTGGTTGTGAACTTTCATATATTGTGGTGCTCTTAACTGGCCACTACAGTTTTTTAAACTGCATTTATCTCTGAGACAGCTGCAGGAAGGCATTCTAGGAAACAGCCTTAGGGTGAATTTGAACCTTGTTTATTAACTGGGCATATTCTTGTCCTCCTAAGATTTATAATAGCAACTTTCCAAA